TAATATTTTTTGTAATTTTTTTAATGTGATGACGTTGTAGCAATTTAAAAATGACCCAAGACTGAATTTCTAAAGAGTATAACTCAACTTATATTAATCGGATTTTAAAGTGGCATACCTCTAAATGTTTCTGGAGCAATTCTCTAAAAATCTGCATTCAAATTTGGAAATTTATTTTTTATACATTTTTTTGTAATTTTTCTGATGTTATGGTGTTGTAGAAATTCAAAAATGTCCCAAGGCTGAAGTTCTAAAGTCCATAACTCAACTTATCTTAATCGGATTTTGAAGTGGCGTACCTCTAAATGTTTCTGGAGCAATTCTCTAAAAAACTGCATTAACATTTAAAATTTTATTTTTTTTTATATTTTTTGTAATTTTATTGATGTGATGATGTTGTAGACATTCAAAAATGGCCCAAGGCTGAAGTTCTAAACTCCATAACTCAACTTATATTAATCGGATTTTAAAGTGGCGTACCTCTAAATGTTTCTGGAGCAATTCTCTAAAAATCTGCATTCAAATTTAAAATTTTATTTTTTTTTATATTTTTTGTAATTTTTCTGATGTTATGATGTGGTAGACATTCAAAAATGACCCAAGAATGAAGTTCAAAAATCCATAACTCAACTTATATTAATCGGATTTAAAAGTGGCGTACCTCTAAATGTTTCTGGAGCAATTCTCTAAAAATCTGCATTCAAATTTAAAATTTTATTTTTTTTATATTTTTTGTAATTTTTTTGATGTGATGATGTTGTAGACATTCAAAAATGGCCCAAGGCTGAAGTTCTAAACTCCATAACTCAACTTATATTAATCGGATTTTAAAGTGGCGTACCTCTAAATGTTTCTGGAGCAATTCTCTAAAAAACTGCATTAAAATTTAAAATTTTATTTTTTTTAATATTTTTTGTAATTTTTTTGATGTGATGATGTTGTAGACATTCAAAAATGGCCCAAGGCTGAAGTTCTAAACTCCATAACTCAACTTATATTAATCGGATTTTAAAGTGGCGTACCTCTAAATGTTTCTGGAGCAATTCTCTAAAAATCTGCATTCAAATTTAAAATTTTATTTTTTTTTATATTTTTTGTAATTTTTTTGATGGGATGATGTTGTAGACATTCAAAAATGGCCCAAGGCTGAAGTTCTAAACTCCATAACTCAACTTATATTAATCGGATTTTAAAGTGGCGTACCTCTTAATGTTTCTGAAGCAATTATCTAAAAATCTGCATTCAAAATTAAAATTTTATTTCTTTTAATATTTTTTGTAATTTTTTTAATGTGATGACGTAGCAATTTAAAAATGACCCAAGACTGAATTTCTAAAGAGTATAACTCAACTTATATTAATCGGATTTTAAAGTGGCATACCTCTAAATGTTTCTGGAGCAATTCTCTAAAAATCTGCATTCAAATTTGGAAATTTATTTTTTATACATTTTTTTGTAATTTTTCTGATGTTATGGTGTTGTAGAAATTCAAAAATGTCCCAAGGCTGAAGTTCTAAAGTCCATAACTCAACTTATCTTAATCGGATTTTGAAGTGGCGTACCTCTAAATGTTTCTGGAGCAATTCTCTAAAAAACTGCATTAAAATTTAAAATTTTATTTTTTTTTATATTATTTGTAATTTTATTGATGTGATGATGTTGTAGACATTCAAAAATGGCCCAAGGCTGAAGTTCTAAACTCCATAACTCAACTTATATTAATCGGATTTTAAAGTGGCGTACCTCTAAATGTTTCTGGAGCAATTCTCTAAAAATCTGCATTCAAATTTGAAATTTTTTTTTTTTTTATATTTTTTGTAATTTTTTTGATGGGATGATGTTGTAGACATTCAAAAATGGCCCAAGGCTGAAGTTCTAAACTCCATAACTCAACTTATATTAATCGGATTTTAAAGTGGCGTACCTCTAAATGTTTCTGGAGCAATTCTCTAAAAATCTGCATTCAAATTTAAAATTTTATTTTTTTTTATATTTTTTGTAATTTTTCTGATGTTATGATGTGGTAGACATTCAAAAATGACCCAAGAATGAAGTTCAAAAATCCATAACTCAACTTATATTAATCGGATTTAAAAGTGGCGTACCTCTAAATGTTTCTGGATCAATTCTCTAAAAATCTGCATTCAAATTTAAAATTTTATTTTTTTTTATATTTTTTGTAATTTTTCTGATGTTATGATGTTGTAGCAATTCAAAAATGGCCCAAGGCTGAAGTTCTAAACTCCATAACTCAACTTATATTAATCGGATTTTAAAGTGGCGTACCTCTAAATGTTTCTGGAGCAATTCTCTAAAAAACTGCATTAAAATTTAAAATTTTATTTGTTTGTAATTTTTTTGTAATTCAAAAATGGCCCAAGGCTGAAGTTCTAAGCTCCATAACTCAACTTATATTAATCGGATTTAAAAGTGGCGTACCTCTAAATGTTTCTGGATCAATTCTCTAAAAATCTGCATTCAAATTTAAAATTTTATTTTTTTTTATATTTTTTGTAATTTTTCTGATGTTATGATGTTGTAGCAATTCAAAAATGGCCCAAGGCTGAAGTTCTAAACTCCATAACTCAACTTATATTAATCGGATTTTAAAGTGGCGTACCTCTAAATGTTTCTGGAGCAATTCTCTAAAAATCTGCATTCAAACTTAAAATTTTATTTTTTTTTTATATTTTTTGTAATTTTTCTGATGTTATGATGTTGTAGCAATTCAAAAATGGCCCAAGGCTGAAGTTCTAAACTCCATAACTCAACTTATATTAATCGGATTTTAAAGTGGCGTACCTCTAAATGTTTCTGGAGCAATTCTCTAAAAAACTGCATTAAAATTTAAAATTTTATTTGTTTGTAATTTTTTTGTAATTCAAAAATGGCCCAAGGCTGAAGTTCTAAGCTCCATAACTCAACTTATATTAATCGGATTTTAAAGTGGCGTACCTCTAAATGTTTCTGGAGCAATTCTCTAAAAATCTGCATTCAAACTTAAAATTTTATTTTTTTTTATATTTTTTGTAATTTTTCTGATGTTATGATGTGGTAGACATTCAAAAATGGCCCAAGGCTGAAGTTCTAAACCCCATAACTCAACTTATATTAATCGGATTTTAAAGTGGCGTACCTCTAAATGTTTCTGGAGCAATTATTTAAAAATCTGCATTCAAAATTAAAATTTTTTGTTTTTTTAATTTTCTTGTAATTTTTTTGATGTGATGATGTAACAATTCAAAAATGACCCAAGACTGAAGTTCAAAACTCCATAACTCAACTTATATTAATCGGATTTTAAAGTGGCGTACCTCTAAATGTTTCTGGAGCAATTCTCTAAAAAACTGCATTAAAATTTAAAATTTTATTTGTTTGTAATTTTTTTGTAATTCAAAAATGGCCCAAGGCTGAAGTTCTAAGCTCCATAACTCAACTTATATTAATCGGATTTTAAAGTGGCGTACCTCTAAATGTTTCTGGAGCAATTCTCTAAAAATCTGCATTCAAACTTAAAATTTTATTTTTTTTTATATTTTTTGTAATTTTTCTGATGTTATGATGTGGTAGACATTCAAAAATGGCCCAAGGCTGAAGTTCTAAACCCCATAACTCAACTTATATTAATCGGATTTTAAAGTGGCGTACCTCTAAATGTTTCTGGAGCAATTATTTAAAAATCTGCATTCAAAATTAAAATTTTTTGTTTTTTTAATTTTCTTGTAATTTTTTTGATGTGATGATGTAACAATTCAAAAATGACCCAAGACTGAAGTTCAAAACTCCATAACTCAACTTATATTAATCGGATTTTAAAGTGGCGTATCTCTATTATTGAAAAGTATGCAACAGGCAGAAGGAATTTCTATAGATTTGCAAAAAAAACTTTTTGCCACGCCCACACTTTTAAGAAAATTTTAAGTTATTTTTCATTTAATAATTTTTTACCCAATTTCTACCAATATTCCAGAAAATTTCTCGTTAATACTTTATTTTCGTTCCAACAAGTTATTTTAAATTTATTTTCCCTTGGCGCCAAACTACTGTGCTCTTTTCAGTGTTACCAGACATCAAATAGATACTGATCTAAAGCGACAAGTCAAGTTCTAATTGTCAAGAACACCAACTTATCAAATATTCTATATGAACTATTCGTAGTTTGTATAATTTAATGAAATGGTTTGTGTTATAATGCCAGCTTATCAAATTTTCCGACCAAACGAAAATACGTAAATCCCGATTTTCTCCGTATTGCCTTAAAAAGCTAAATCTGGCGATAAAATCGCCAACTTCGCAACTTTGGACAACCCACAACAGCGGGATCAGCTGTTCGCCAACGAAGAAGAAGAGCGTGCGCGAGCGTTCAGTGAATGAAATTAAAATATTTAACATTTTAGTGTATTTAGCGGACGGAAACTGAACGAAAAACGTAAATAAGCGTGGTAAACAAGCTAATAAGCCGGTGATAAAAGAAAGTTTAATTGCTCGAGCATTCCCACCCTCGTAATGAAATAGTATTGGTGTGAAGGGAAAACCAACCGCCTAATTAAAAAGTTGAATTGAAGTGTGCGCAAAAAAAGTGAAAGTGCATACAGAACCCTCCCGCCCACGCCCACAACGCCCCTTTTTGGGGGGAGTGGCAGTAACGCCCATTCGTCTCGTTTCACCCCCCTTTTTTGTGTGTGTGTGTGCGTGGCGGGCGCCTGTGTTGCGCGACCTTCACGCAACCTTCAACATGCAGCAACACGTTGTGTGTAATCTAACATTTTTTTTGCCAATAATCCGAAAGAAACAACAACTGAATCGAATAAAAAGCTAACAAAATAAAAGGCAAAATAAAGCCAACCGGCTGCCAATGGCAACACAAAAACAAAAATCAACAAATTCTCCCAGCAAACAAAAAACTGCATTTTGCTCTCTCTTTCAATTTTGCTCTCTCTCACTCTCTGCGAGCTTGGCGCTCTCTTTCGTTTAACCCGTTTGCTTTTGCGATATTCGAATTCAATTCAACTTCAAAAGTCGAGCGGAAAAGTTCATCGCGCGAAAAAGCGGAAAAGCGAAAAACCAGAGATCCTTGCTCGAGTGAAAAAGTATTACTATTCGTGCTATCAAGAAGTCTCGAAGGCGTGTCATTTCATTGATAATTGATAACGTACATAGCTATAGACAAAAATCGGGTTTCGTTTTCATATGCTAATTAGCCCGTTTTTCATTAGCATTTCTAAACCCTCGCTGATTGCGTTTTAGTTTCGTTACACGGGTATGGTGAAATGATAGCCCTTATGTTTTCAAAACCAAAAAGCTCGAATAAGTAATATTTGGTTAAGCTCGGACATTAACTGAATAACTAAACAATCAACTGATATTAAATCTTTGTTTTGGCAACTAAAAAAAAACGTAAAACTCTACAAAACCAAGTTGTTTAAGTCATTTACTAAGCAACTGAATTGAAATTCTAAACAAAAGAAGTTCCAATTCATAGGTTTAATTAGTGGGTAGCGCACAGTCTTCATAATTAGTTCAAACGTTCATAATTGATTCAATTGCATTATTTATGGAGAACTATTTACAACGAGCTTGCTTTTCTTACGTCATTTCGGCTAAACAATTTACAATCCTCCTCCAGCAACAATTGCAAAACAATTTTGGTGTCACGTACAGATAAACAAACGCAAAGTTCAACGGCATTCATTCGAGTAAAAATAAGCCAGCAGAACAGAGAAACTAATTATTTTGTTTATTTGGCACATTAATTGCCCGCAAACAAGTCGCGTGTGAACGAACCAAACAGAATTACGAACCGCTAGCCGTTCATAACAATATAGTGGATATAGCCCGAGATTCCGCAGATCGGCCACAAAATGAACGACCGTGAATTGGGCTGTGCAGGCGGACAGTTTATGGATCGCGGGCGGATGAACCAGAATGGAGTTGTCCAGCCCCTGCTCACTGGTAAGTACCCAGCTGTTTGTCGCCAACAGATGGCGCCATGGTAGTGGTAAAAAGCTGAATTGTAGCAAAGATAAGATTCCGCTAAGAACCAACTTATCCCACTTGGAACCTATTTGCAAGTTTTACTGCTCACCTTACCTCTTCTTTGTTTTTTGTTTGTTCAACTCATCCCAAAATAGTTCGAATATATTGGAGTATATATATGTATATAACCTATCTTTAAAGCCGACTGACATTTGGGCAGAGACCATTTGGCGCGTATGCGCTGCTTTTGCCGGCTTCTTACGACTATTGCACTTGGCATATACATATGTACATATATGCCGCATATATTTTTAGGCGCAGACACGAGCGCAAATACATAAAAACGAAGCAATTTTTAGGTCTTTGCACTTAGATAAGAATTTGCATTTCATTTTCGGGATTTTGTTAATATGTATATATTTGGTTGGCGTTAATTTGCACCACCAGCAATTAACTCTCCAGGCTATCTTATCTGCATAGTTCTAGGCTGAACACTTTGCTACTTAGTACAGAGGAGCCTACTTAAGTTAAACCCCTAATATCGCTTAATAACTTATTGCAAAGTGTCTCTTTGTTACAATAAGTTTAAAAGCGCTGCTACTATACTGAAAACTAATTATGATTATTTTACCCAACATTTTACAGATCTGTACCAAATAACGATGGCCTATGCCTATTGGAAATCCGATAAAACCGATGATACGGCGGTATTCGATCTGTTCTTTCGCAACAATCCATTCCACGGGGAATTCACGATTTTCGCCGGGCTCGAGGAGTGCCTCAAATTCCTGGATAGCTTCCACTATTCCCAGAGCGGTAAGTGTGATTGAAAGCATTATATTATGATTATAATACGGAAATCAACTCCATTGGACCTTTTCAGATATCGAATACCTGAAGCAAACACTGCCCGAGGGCATTGAGCACGAGTTTTTTGAGTACCTCGGCAATCTGACGGCGCGGGATGTCACCTTGTATGCCATTGATGAGGGCACAGTAGCATTTCCACGGTGCGTTTGCATGGTATCCATCAAATTAGTACATATCTGTATAAACGATAAGTTTAGGAAATTCCAGCAGATATAAGTTTGGCTATCACCTTTTATTGGCATAGACAAAGTGCATACATTACATATATACATATATATTATAATCAAATACTATGACCTTTAAACCATACTCATTTAAGGTGAGTCTGTGATTGTGAAAGGTATTTTTAGAACCGTCATCATAACTGCCATATTTATCTAGGGATTATTTTCTGTCCATAACCCGTAGTCATCTTTGCAACTGATAAGATTTAAGATATTTTACTCTTCTCAAAGTTATTATCTGAAAACAAAGTTATAGAAGCACGTATTAGGCGTATTCATAAAATGTATTTTTCTACTTTTAGAGTACCCATCATAAAGATCGAGGGACCTTTGATCATAGTCCAGCTGCTGGAAACGACACTTCTCACCTTGGTAAATTATGCCAGGTAGGAATCGCTTATATATCTCCTACTATCTGGAAATTTCCTAATAAATTCTGTTCTTGCCACACAAAAACAGTTTGATGGCCACCAATGCAGCCCGTTATCGCATGGTAGCTGGTAAACATGTCAAACTATTGGAATTTGGACTGCGTCGTGCCCAGGGACCAGATGGAGGTCTATCCGCATCGAAATACTCCTACACAGGTACTACACCACCATCAACTATCAACTATGAACTTTCACACGCTCAGAGAAACTCAGAGAGTTCCATAAAATCGTGACAAGAAAGGTCAGCCGTGTGCGATATGAATATTTTTTCGGCATTGCCAAATTGCATGCAGACAGCTCATTATCAATTAAAAATTGTAGGGGAATGGGAATTGTCGGGATGCGGACAAATTTTACTCACAGTCGCCTTTTGTTGAGGAGCTCCCATTTTCGCCACTCAGTTTAGCCGTCTGCAGAGCTAGTTTTGAAATGTTTATATATATTTAAATACTTTGAATACAAAAATGAGCCAGTGCTTAAACAATAACCCGTAATACAATCACGGGGCATTTAAGTACTCCATAAGCCATCGTATCTCAAGCGTTGATCCTTTCGAAGGGTCTGCAGGAAGTCGGTGCTTTTCGTATTGCCACTGCCTGACTTTTTATGATGTGCATGCATGCAAAGCACGTGTCACTGTCAGGAGCTGAGGCTTCGCTGACTCTGATTTCCGATTTTGGCATTTCCCAAGGCCCTCCCTCCGAACTATGAGTAATTCTCCGCCTTCATCAAGGCTTCCGACTCTCCGCCATCCACCTGGATGGCTCCACCTGCTCCTCTCGCGACAAAGTTCAAGAACTCTAGTTTATGTGTTGAACTAAATGCGCCCGGGCAGCAGTAAAATGCCCAAAGTGGGTGGCACACGCAACGCCTACGTGGGGTGTCCATGTATATGGAATATATCGGTGCCAGGTACCCATCGAATCCGGCTTGGAACATGGTAATCCCTGCTCCGGTGCCTCTCAATTGGTGCTCACACATCGTAACTTTTTCGGTTTCGTTGTTCGTTTCTCGTTGTTTGGCAAGCAACGCTCAAAGTTTTTAATGCGTTCCACATCGTGCTTGGACTATACATACATCATCTATATAGTATCACCCCAAATCAATGGATGGCTTCGCGTGGCGTCAAGGTTCCTGTCAAGGTTTTTTTTTTCTGATAAACTGAAGGAAAATTGAAATGTTTATAGCCGGTATTTCCGCTCTTAATGGAGGAATATAATGAAACGAGACCATTAAACGGGTATTTAAAAGTTTGGGATGTTTGTTGCACGGTTGCTTTGCAACTTAATTTGGAATTTTCTCTGTGTCCTTGTGTAAACATATTCCACCTTAATGTTTATATTAATTATACGTTTATTTCTTCTGTTCCCAGGCGGTTTTGATGGCACCTCCAACGTGCTGGCTGGAAAACTCTTCAACATACCCGTGAAGGGAACCCATGCCCATGCCTATATCACTAGTTTTAGTAGCATTGGAGAGCTGAAGACCCGTCTGATTAAGCACAAGCAAACAGGTGAGTAAATGCTGTACTGAGCATAAAGGAACCAGAATGCTAATCTGTATTTCCCAGGCATCCTGGAAGATTTATTGGAGCACGCTATCAGGCACCGGGCATTGCTGTCCCATCTGCTGGACGTTTCTACAGAGGAATCCAGTGAGGGAGAACTGGCAGCGATGGTGTCCTATGCCATCGCATTCCCCGATGGATTCATGGCACTTGTCGATACGTACGATGTTAAGAGGTATTTCGCTTTTAGGCAGATTCTCTCGGAACGGTTTTAGTTTTCGGTTTTTCCTACGTTTGTGATGTTTTCCCGTAACTTTCCCGGTAACCCTCTTCTTTCCCTCGTTATTTTGAGTATGGATTTCGTTGTTATATTTCGTATTGTATTTGAGACTCTCGAGACGTGCACCAGCCAGTTACAAAAACCCAAAACCAGAGTAACTATTATATAGCTAACAAGGCTCCAATGAAGATATCTTTAATTTTCCCTGCCTCATCCCAAATCATTTCTTGAGCTTTTCATTTCGTTCTTTCGTTTGAGTAATAATCAAAAGTATTATCCAACAGCCGAGAAACAGAACAAGCCAACACAGAACCAAAGCTTATCAATGATATCAAGTCTGAGAACAGTCCGCCAAAGCCAAAGCCAAAGTCAAAGACAAGCCCCTCGAGCAATGGCCATCAAAATGGTCAGGGTATTGGCCACGTTAACGGCCACAAGACCAATGGTCATCAGAATGGCGTTGCTCTGCATAATGGCAGTAGATCGCCAAAAGATACAGATATACAAGATACTAATCCCAGCACAACAACTACGAAAACAACTGCAACAGCAACAGGAACCTTAAAGACAACCACAGTGTCCAATGGGACGGCATACCTACCAAAATATGTCGAGAAGTCATTCAGGTAAATGTCGTTATCGATAGAAGACCAATCAATCAGTAATAGAAAAACCAAAAGTTTAAATAGACGAAAATTGAATTTAAAAGCATTTACTTAATCTATATTTCCATTGCCATTGACTAACCGACCTAATCATAAACCACATCTGCATTTTAAACAGCATTTACTTCCGCTTTTTAAGCCTTTAACGCTCATTATTTCAAATGTAACTAATAGGAGCTAACAAAAATCACTTTTGGAAGATTGTTGAAGCTGTTCTCAACTTTAACGTGGATAGTTTTGTTAGCTCTCCTATTAAATTATGATGAAATGCTTGACATTTTTGATTTTTACTAATGTAAGCCTTGCATGACGACGTGGAGATACTCGTACATTCAACTAAAGTTTCGAAACTAAATTCAAAATTTCAAACCTCATATACATGCATATATGCGTTTATATATATTTAAGCTAATATATATGTCCATGTATGTGTCCTCTGCTTTGGTGTTACAAAATTGGTCGAAAATCCTCAAGAGTGGGAAATAATCCTGGCAAAAGATTCAAACAAAGAAAACCAACCAGAACAGGTGAAGTCAGTTTATTTAATTTATTTTTTGCTTTCCCCCTATTGCTCTCCCAACTTTCTTCAGTGTAATTTTTCGTATCACTTTTGTATACTAACACGCTCAATTATCATATTACATTTTTGCGTTTAATATTATTTTTCTAACTGAATTTTGTTTATTATGCTTTTTATTTTCTCGTCCTAAATGTGAATGTGAAACAAATAAAATCGAAAACATAATCGAACCCGAATCAGAAACCCATAAAATACCGAAAGAAAATGAAAAGAATTTACGAACTTAACATAGTAAACAAATGACTTCCGGCACTATTTTGGCAGAGGTATGTAAAACACACGTCTTCAACCTACAAAAACCCCAACAATACACTTCGAGCAATCAACAACATGATATAATATCATCCGGCACATACTCACCTACTCAAATGCAACAAATGCGGCCAACAAATCCAATGTTCATGCATAAATGATATCCGATCCTCAAGCTCACACATAACCAGGTGCATAAAACAATCGAGAGAAGTGCAATGAAAATGCAAGCCAAGGCATTTTCTACTGAACCTCGATCATAACCAAAAGCTCATTAACATAGCTAATCAGTTTTGTTGGAAAAACGTAAAGTAAATTTGTTTGCTATTCCAACTAATTCCAAATATTCAAATTGTTTTCTACATTGTTTTAAGCACACAGTTGAAAACGAAACCCGATACGAAACCACGCACTGATTCACCCTAATGCTGTCATAGATTTAACCCCGTTCTATTTGTCCTCGTCTTCAGTTCTATAGATTTTTAGGACTTCGATTTTCTTGTTTTTCTGTGTCCCAGTTTTGTATTGTTACATATATATTTTCCGAAACATTTTATTTCCGACCAACAAGCGGTCTCAAGATGTCTTTCAAAAATTTCTTTTTCGTTGGTTTTTTGACCTGTACATAATTAAGAAAAGCGTCCGAGAGAGCACACTGCATGGCTTGAACAACAAAACCGAATATCTACGAATTTGTGCTGCTCCCTTAGAAGAATATTTTAATATTTGCCGAGGCTTACATTTCTAACACAAAGAGCCGCACTTGCAAATCGAAGAGAACCAATTTGAGTTCCGAAACACGTTCTATAGCTCCACCCCACTGTCAAAACATTTGGTTTTGTGTAATTCTCGCTTTGAACCTAGTGACCAAAAGCAAAAAAATCAAATATTGTAAAGCAAAATGAGAGAAATTTTATTGTTGAATTGAAAACCAAAAACCAAGCAGCACTTGTTGGATTCCCCAAATACGACTACTGAATACCTGCTTGTGTTTTCTCCACAGGAGTGGTCTGCTGAATTTCAGTGCCGTGGCTTTGGCCCTCAACGATCTGGGCTACCATGCGCTGGGCATTCGAATCGATTCCGGGGATCTGGCCTATCTTTCCTGCCTGGCACGCGAGACCTTCGAGAAGGTGGCGGAGCGATTCAAGGTGCCATGGTTCAACAAGCTGACCATTGTGGCATCCAACGACATCAATGAGGACACCATTCTCAGCCTGAACGAGCAGGGGCACAAGATCGATTGCTTTGGCATTGGCACGCATTTGGGTGAGTTTGCACTAACAATAAACTAAATAAATGCTGAAAGCCTATTAACATAACTTTTACCCATCAGTTACCTGCCAACGGCAGCCGGCACTGGGATGTGTGTACAAGCTCGTGGAGATCAACGGCCAGCCGCGGATCAAACTCAGCCAGGATGTGGAGAAGGTGACAATGCCGGGCAACAAGAATGCCTATCGGCTGTATAGCGCCGATGGTCACGCCCTCATCGATCTGCTGCAGAAGGTGTCGGAGCCGCCGCCAGCGGTGGGACAGAAGGTTCTGTGCCGGCATCCTTTCCAGGAGTCGAAGCGCGCCTACGTGATACCCTCGCATGTAGAGTCGCTCTACAAGGTGTACTGGAAGTCGGGCAAGATCTGCCAGCAGCTGCCCACCTTGGAGCAGGTGCGCGAGAAGGTGCAAATCTCCCTGAAGACGCTGCGCAATGATCACAAGCGCACGCTCAACCCAACGCCCTACAAGGTATGTGCCAAGTTGTGTCTATCTGGCTCCGAAAATAGTATAACAATGTCTCACATTCCTTAGGTGGCTGTCAGCGATAATCTCTACAACTTCATTCACGATCTGTGGCTTCAGAATGCTCCCATTGGCGAGCTATCATGATCTATATAAGGAGATTGTGGCAAAGGAGCGCTGAAACATTTCCGAGAAATTTACTTATTTTTGGTTTACTATTTTTGTTGGCCTCGATCGTTCGGTCGTGGTGGATTATTTTTAGTCAATTGCTGGTCATATGCATTGTAGAGCTGGAACTCGTTCCGTCACACGAAGATTTCCCCCTGACTATGAAGCACAAACTCCCACGCAATATTGCGAGTGAATTTCAATTCATTGTGTAGTCAATAGTTTTAACGTGTTTATCTAATATTTACTACTTTACAAAACGCACATCATATTCAGGAATGTGTCATGTGCCTTAAACGAGAAGCGGAAGCAGAAGCGGAAAAAGAATCAGGATGCACAGGAATCACACACCCAAATCGAGTTACTAAGATCAACCAAATATCGGAGCGGAATAAATATGTCTTTAATATTTTTCTAGTACTTAAGTGTTGAAATGTTGCGAACGAACGATGAAAGTTAGAAGTACAAATGCTTTTTAGGACATTTGCACGCTGTAGGGCACACATCAAGCACACAACTATATCTACTTATATATAACTTTACATACTGCGATTATGTATTTAACTAAATTCAATTGTATATATGTTCAACTGGATAATTGTAAGCCAACTAAGCAATACAGACACACCCAAAACACACCGCCATCTCTAAATGACCGCTTCTTAAATATGTTTGCCTGTAGTTTTGATTAAAAATAAAAAGTAAAGCAAAGCCGCAAAGAAAATTCGAGACCGTTTGGTAAAAAGTGTTATACAGATATATGCATTCTATTTGATTTGTAGCTCAACAGCATACGCAAACGGTGCTTCCACCTACACTTCATTATCAGATTGACAAATAACATTCTTCTTTTTGGAGCACGGATCATCGTTCATTTTGTTGCGAACCAGCTCGACGCAGCGCTCATCGGAATTTGCGTGGTTGGGTTCCCCCTTGTTCCACTTTAAAAATACAATTTTCTTGCCGGATGCCATGGATACGTAGTTGTGAATGCTGGCCCTATCGTTTATGCCCAGCCAGAAGCTCTTGTCACCCAGTCTCGCCGAAATGGCGTCCAGCTCCATTTGATCTTTGATGGTGGCTATATAGCCACCCATGTCGCGGCAGTATTGTACGGCGGAATTCCAATCGTATGCATCCTTGCGATTGATGTAGAAAAGTCTAGAGCCGATTCGCTCGAACTGCGGCCAGAAGACCTTTGTATAAATTTTCGAGAGAGTGTCTTGGATGGCGGTCTGTTTAGTCTCCATCTTGGTCAGCTCGTCCTTCTGATGCTGCTCCATCGCCGCCAATCTCTGCTTAAAGTCCTCTGGGATTCTCGAGAGAGTGTCTTGGATGGCGGTCTCCATTTTGGTGAGCTCTTTCTCCTGACGCTGCTGCATCCTTGCCAATCTCTGCTGAAAGTCCTCTGGGATATTCTTTAAGGTTTCCTGAAAGATCTTCTGCTGTGCTTCTATCTGAGTCAACCTCATTTCGAAGTTGATCGGTACTGCATTCTTCAAGGTTTCCATTTCAGCTTGATGACCCTTTGTGAGATTGATATGATTTTCCAACTGGTCGCCGATTGACTTTTGCTGATTTTCCAACTGGTCGCCAAATGATTTTTGGTGATTTTCCAACTGGGCGACGATTGACTTTTGCTGACCTTCCATTCTGGCTAATCTCTCGTCGAGTTCAACTGGCATTTTCTTTAGAGATTCCTGTAATGTCGTCTGCAGATTTTCCATTCGGTCCATTCTCTCCTTGATGTCCCGTGGGACTTTCTGCGTGGAATCCTCCAAGGAAAGAGTTTGTGCCGCCAGCTGGGCTTGTATCCTGTCCAATTTTGCCTGGGTGTCGTTTAGCCTGAGGGCTTCGGAGGTGTTCCATAGCTCCTGGTGCTTGACGATGTGATCCAAAAGCGGTTGGAGGACCAAAAGGCAGAATTCCCCGCACTGATTTGGCGGATCTTGCAGAAGGCACATAGATCGAGTACTCTCTGTGGATTCCGCTCGGGATCCCCCCAGATTCCAGGCAATAAATAAGTACACAATAAAATGTTCAAGCTTAAACATACTGATAATCGCACAACCGTTGCAAGCGAAGAACAGAAACGTACTGATCCGGTTTTATGTAACGACTTTGAATGAGCAAGGAAGATAAGAGCTATATTATTCATATATTAATATAATTCTGTTTTTGCATTTCTCAGAAATTTATCGCTTCTGCGACCGACATTCACTGACTTACTTATCATTTGCTTTGTGCTCGTCGAGTTTTATTTTGCATTAATTTGCGAACCATAATTTATAATAGTGTTTCTTACATATCAATTTTCTACTTTTACATTTCTGCGATATAAAAATTCAAATTTCCTTGGCGCGCATCTTCTTCTTACCACCTTTGGCATTCACCGTTGACGATTACACGGTAATGTTGCGTGGTATATTTTAGTACATAACGGTTTACCATTCACACTAATTAGGCAACATTTGTTATTGTGAGCAGCTGCACAAAATAAAGAGAAAATTAAACAAAAGGTTAATAAATAGAAGAAAAATAATAACATTTCGACTCGTTCAAACGTCAATCATTGCGCACATAATATTCACCCAGAGAGGAAGTCGGATTTTCGTCTGAATTTTTCTGCAGCTGCGCAACTTGGCAAAACAACAACAACTGTGATTCATGCGACCAAATAGAAGTTATGCCCTAGAAATTGATTTTTAACCAGATTTCTAGTTACAGATTGACACTGAAAATCATGGAGGGCGACTCGGAAAATCGCAAGGATCAAATCCTCGAGCGCTTGAACAAACGAAACAAGGACCGGCAGAACTATTTGGATGTGAAATCGGAGCTGCGTTCCAAGGAAACGGTGCAGAACGAGGGCGTTGACTACTTTTACCAGACTTTCAGCCAGAAAACCATCGATATAGAGCAGCGATTGAAGGATGTGCAATGCGGCGATACCCAGCCAACCGATTTGGCCCGGAATTTCGCCGATATAACTGTGGAGATCCAGGATCTGCAGCGATACCTCACCGCGTCCACCATGTTTCTTCCCGATTTCAAGATAAAATCCTGTCAGAATATTCTAAACACCCTGACTTCCGTGAGTGATGAAACCCGCCAGCGCCTGATGCCCAAGAAAAAATTTGGGTTCAGCGGCAAAAAGACCGCCGCAAAGCAAAAAGTCGCCCCAAATAAGGATATAGTCGATGCGAAACTCAGTAAAGTCCCGGAAAAACTAGGCTCCAACTTCGCCTGGACCATTGCCAACCGGACGAACGAGCACATAGTCCTGGATTCCGCTAAAGTAAATGGCCAGGACATCACAATATCGAATTTAAACCACTGCTTGGTTGAACTGCAAGGGCATCCTGGTTCTGTGCAAGTTTCCAGGGCCTCCAAATGCACTCTGCTATGCGGCCCTATTGCACGATCCTTCTTCGCCGAGAATCTCGAGGATTGCACCCTTTCCATTGCCTGCCAGCAGTTGAGGTTGCACTCCTCCCGGACCATTCGCATATACATGCATGTCACCTGTCGCGCCATAATCGAGGATTGCAGGAATATTGAGATCGGAGAGTACAACTACGATTATTCCGAACTGGAGGCGGATTACCTAGCTTCTGGACTGAATAAGGCTCAGAACAATTACACGGATGTGGCCGATTTTAACTGGCTTTCGCCGGATGTCCCCTCGCCGAACTGGAGCCTCCTCAAGGATTATCCCGACCCGAATTGGAATGCCCTAAGGCGGGACTTTATTGCCAATAACCACAACAGCGGACTTAAGCAGGATGTCAAGGATATCTCCATCATTTAGTGGCGGCATCGGCGGCTGCTCCTCGGTTGGCTAGCCTACGGCATCATCCTCGGTTGGCTGCTCTGGGAACTGCTGCTACGGCCCTCAATTGGTGGGCCAAAATCTAATCCTCGATCTGTGTAAATAGCTATAAGCGTGTTGATTAAATAACCATTATATAAAAAACAAACCATGGCAATTCTCAATTCTTATACTCTGTGCGGAATCTCGAAAATTTGATTATTCATTTAAGCACTGATTTCTCATATTTTGCTAATATCGTACGAAGTCTCATAGCAGCTAATATTTGACTTTGGAGTGGGTGGGTTAAAGTTTGACTTCAATGACATATGTATGCATGTAGGTATGTATCAGTTCTTGTTTATGTCGTGGCTAATTTGACATGTCCAATTCGGATGTGGCATAATCAGTGGTTGGCCAAAATGGCTGTGGCTGCCACACACATTTCGGAATGGGCGGAAGACGGCGCCTCATGCAAGTTTCATGTGGCCACAACAGGACTTCTCAAGCCATTGCCTCCTCTTTGATGGCGTCACTCCACTTGCACATCAGGTTCGCTCTGAAAGTGCAATAATAAAAATGAATATATGTACATAATTATTTTGAATGCCTTTTTTGATTGATTGTTTACCTAAATTGCAATAAATTATTATTTTGTCGCTTAAATTGAAGCTACAACTTTAAAATTTATATGCAATTTAGGCTCATTCCTTAAGTTAGAGTATCTGGTCTTCATGTTCTCGCGACGGTTAATCTCTCTCTCCCGACACTCTCCCTCATTCTCTCACCATTTTCTCTCATCCCGCTGACTTTTGCGGCTGTCAACATGGCCGACTGTCAAAATAATTAACGAATTCGAGTTACACGCGTTAAAGGGGGGATGTGTCCCCACAAATAAATGGCCATATATGTAGCTACAGCTCATGAAGGGGGGCAGGAATCGGAAGAGACATCTCGTATTAGCGAGGTAATTGAACTGCGAGTTACACGAGCAACGGGATGCTGCTGGGAGGGGGAGGGGGGAGCGCCAAATTGAGAGCAGGTAATGAGCTGTCACAATTGCGGATAAAACGGTGCAAAGCAAGGAGAATGACAGATGGACAAGTAGCAGTGTGCAAACCAACGGGAAGATCAGCAAGTAAAGTGAAGAAAAACGCGGTTGTTTGCAGGTTTTCGTCTTATCTCTCGGTTGATCTGCAATATCGCATGAAAACCGTGGTTTCTTATTAAGTGGATGTGTGAAGAGAAACAGTTGAAAACGCCGGGCAACTGTAGCGTACACACGATCAATTTGATATGTGTATATGTATGTACATACTTGTATGCATGCATACGCAAATCACATAATTGCGGTATAAAATGTAGCGTGGCGGCCACCACTCAAAAAAATTCACAGTGCTTTTTTTTTAAGTGTAGTGATAGTGAAGTGAAGTTTAATTTAATGATGCTGCTAAATATGTTATAATCAATATATTTAAAAATCGTCACGAAAGAAATTTGAGGTAAGTACATTTTTTATATGAATGCATACATACATATTTATTTACCATGCCACTACTGAACAATTATCTACTAAGAAATCTACTACATAAACCATAATACCATAAGCAGTAAGCAAACCGAAATTGTTCAAATCTAATTGCAAATGAATGGCTGATAATGTGACGAAAGCGCCTCAATTTGCTAATAGTCGATGCCAAGGTCACAGGAGTCGCACTCACCTGTAACTTCCACTCGAAATTTACCAACGCTTATTTTCAACATAATAACGTCCAACAATAGATGCGTGTTTTGATGGCAGGCAATCACTATATATAATACATTTCAATATTTCTTTCAATCCAAAAGACTTTGAAAATGTATAAAGATTCAAAACTTGAAGATTCAGCTTATTACTTTGAACTTTTCGTCCTTCGCGATTGTTAGCGACTGCAATATCCGTTTATTTAAATGAACCCGATACACTATCAAATCTAATTGCTTTCACACTTGAACTGTGTTGGTAATTCCGGCCGCACACACACATGCACACACGCATACATACATATATGTATGTATACACACACGGACAGGTGCATCTGGGGGTGCCACATTTGCATAGCTCACAATTAGTTTTCTCATTATCGCAGATAATATTCTCCGCATTTGCGATAAGACGGAGACCCCAACAATGGTGACCGACCCCACATTAATATTATCGTAGTGCCTGTAATTGCCTGACTCCCTCACACTTTGATGGTTTCAATTACTGCAAAATCACCGACCGCGCACCTTCGTCCTGACTCCTGTCGCCTTGCCCACTGTGACCCACATGCAATCCGCAAATGCCTTTGTGTGCGGATTTTATGGCTCAGCTGATGTGGCCAACGATGCTAATTTACGCATTTAGTTTAATGGCCTTAACGCGTTGGCCCAAAGTCACAAGGGCTTAGTGTGATTTCTAGGCGGAATAACGTCGATTGATCCAGACAGCCAAATATCACTCATACGCCATGTATTGGTAGTATTGGGAGTATTGGAGCTTTCAAATTAAAAGAAAATTTGATTTTTCCGCAACCAGCTTCTTTAAGCTGTTCCGCTTTTGATAAGCGAAAAAATGTTGATTAATTAAGCGAATTACGGGAGTCATGCATTGCAATTAAAATGTCAGCGCAGCCACGGAGTGTCGGAGTGAGATATATGTATGTATAAATTCAATATGTACGTGGATGGTAGGCTCCTGGGCAAAATGTCCAGGATTGGGTTATGTAATGCTCCTTCTGGCCTTTTTTACTCGCAGCTTTTCCCGCTTTTTTTCTTTCCCCTCCCGTCGCGAATCGCGAATCTCCGCTCAAATTGTAATTAATGATGCAAGACAGCCGGCAAACCCCTCCTCTTTCACACCCAGATCCCCCACAAATTCCACCCCCCAGCGACCACAGTCGGATCCAAACCGAAAATCTCTGCCTGGCCTTGTCATCCTGCCCCGCCCACCATGTGGCATCCGCCTGCCCCCGTTGTGGGTTTTATTTTACCCTGTAAATTGGGGTTCCCACTTGCAGGATGGATGCATGACTGAAACCCTTGAAGTAATACCAATTCTCAGTAGCTGATAATCAGATGTTTAAGTTCTCAGTCAGGATGTTGATGTTTTGATATCCATTTGAAAGCTGATCTTTCAGTAATTTGCTGATCTTAGAGTATTCGCATCTTCGTTCAATTGCAGCATTTGCACGTTGGCTGCTGTTTGTTTACTTAAATCATCGACGCGGCGCGCGTTTTAAACGCGTTTCTCGTGCTTTTCGTGTAAATAAATGAAAAGTTCGTTTAATTCTCGTCGATTCTTTATGCGTTGAACGAGGAAGTGGTTAAAGGGGCAGGGGGCTGGTATCGTTTACTTTGGAAATGAAAAATTATGATTACATCAACAATAATCGAAATGCGCTTGTAAGCTGCTCTCTTGCTGTCTCTTTCGCTGTCCCTGCGCCTGTCCTTTTCGGAATTCATGTTCCCGTCCCACTGCCCCTTGCAGTTCCGTTCCTGCTTTCCGCACTCCAATCTTGCACTTGGAGAAACTATAACTAACATGTGCACCAAATGTGGGCTTTGGTTGACCCTAAAGTAGAACAACTAAATTATTGGAAGTAAAGGTTCCCAGAAGAATGCACTATTTTCTTGACAAGGATGCTGAGTGTAAACCATTTAGTTACCAATGAGAGAGTATGGGTTCTACGTTTTCTCTCTCTGCATTGCTATCTTTCGGTCGGCTCCCTTACTCCAATTTTGTATTATTTTTGTTGCCGCTGCTTGGCATTTTCGTTGTGCTTTGGTCGTTTTGGCCATTTCTCTTCGTTCGCGTTGCTGACTTGCAACGCTTTCATGCGTAGCATTCAAGTGGGGGAGGGGATTTTGGGGCTGGGAGTAATGTAAACGTTCAATATTTGTGTTCGAAGTAAAAAATCGAGACGTTCCCTGCTCTTTTGGCCCCCTTTCCCAATGTCTTTCCCCACTTCCAACGATGCCAGCCAACGACGCGTTCAGCCAAAAAGTATGCAATGCAAAAATCGAAAAATGCGCGTGGCAGCACCTCAGCTTTCAGTTTTCAGCTTTCAGCTTTCGGCTTTCAGCTAACGTGTGCTTCTCACTAAGGAGGAAAACACCACCTGCTGTTCAACTAGGTGAGGAGATGGTACAGCAGTGTAGTACGGCCAAATATCTTGGCATAACATTAGACCGCCGGCTCACATTTGCTCCCCACATAGCAGCCATCAAAACAAGGGTGAGAGCAGCTGTGACAAAGCACTGGTGGCTCCTAAGAAGCAACAGTAAACTCTCCACCCGAAATAAGCTCACCCTATACAAGCAGGTCATTGCTCCCATCTGGCAATATGGTTGCCAAATCTGGGGGATAGCAAGAGATAGCCAAATCAAAAATATTCAGGTGGCCCAGAACAAAATAGCGAGACTAATTACAGGCTGTGAGTGGTACATTCGAAATAGCGTGCTACATAGGGACCTAAAACTAGTTACGGTACTACAACAAATCAACTTCCACTCCAGTCGGTACAACTCAAGACTGATGAACCACAGGAATCGTCTCGCTAATGATCTCACCATTACTCGACCGAGGCAGAGGATCAAAAGACGTCAACCAAGAGACTTAGTGCTAAGATAACAATAGCTTAATAGCTAAATATTAATTATAAAACAACATGAGAGTATTAGACCAAAATAGAAAAAGCTATATTAAATATTCCCTATAGCCGGAGCGCCAATTGGCAGAAACAATAGAAAATAAGGTAATAAAAGGGTTCATAGCTATCCTGTATATCTTAATAAACTACAATAAAAAAAAATAAAAAAAAAAAAAAAAAGCTTTCGGCTTCAGTATCGAGCCCCAGTCTGCATCTCTCTTATCTGCCGGGCTCCCATATTTCCCCTTGATTTCCCTGCCACACGGGCACTGAGATAAAATGAGAGTGCGTGGTCGGCCATTAGAGTATGCAATTCTATGAGGATAAAAGTATGAAATTCAATGGAAGGTGTCTAAAAGTATGCTTCAAAATGCTTGAATTTTTAAGAATTTAAAGATCGATGTCTGTCACCTGAAAAGTTTGTAGGCTGCATAGATTGCTCTCCCACTTTGAATATTTTTTTCTGTGATCGCTTTCTTTGCTACAGTCTGAGCCA